ATAATAATAATAATAATAAAGAGAAACAGAAAAACAATAAGTGGGAATGCATAAGCATTCCCACTTGACTAGAAAAAGCTGTTTCGGAGAAACAGCAAGTGGGAATGCTTTTGCTGAATGAATAAAGCTGAAATTAACTGCAGAACATATGAAAATGTGATAGGAAGTCATCAGAAACTTCAAACTGCAGAAAACAATTGAATCATCTGAAGATTTTTGTAGGGTAGAATTATTTGGCACTAAAATGGCAGAAAGAAACTCATCTTAAAAGCTGCACAGCCAAACCATACATAATATCAAAAATGTCATTAATATGTGCACTAGAAGGGTCTTAATATAATGTCTATCAAGTTTCTAGAAAAATTTCTAAAGAAATTTTGAAGTGGGGCCACCTACTGCCCAGAAACATGTCAGGCATGTTATGAATTAGCAGCAAACAGAAAAGCTTAATTCCTGTCCAGAAAAAGAGCAAAATTAAGCCAAGGTTCACAGCATAGGCTGAACAATATAAAATTAGCTGAATCGGAAAAGAAATTACAAAGAAAAAATTGAATCTTATCTGGTTGAAGAAAATATGAGTAGCTCAAGGATGGGAAGTAAAATGTTGAGGAAGATGGTATTGAATAAGTATCAAAATTTTGAAATTGTGGAAATGTCAAGACTTGGCACAACAATTTGAAATGATTTAAAATGTGTTGGTTGATCAGCATAAAGAAAACAGTGTCATCCTTAGAGGATTGAAAATATACAAACCTATGTGCAAGACTGACCATGAGAAGCAGAGGAAGGACAGAGAGAGAAGCTTATAGAAAGAGAGTTAATACCACTTAAGGAGCTGAATTTATAAAAAAAAAACTAACCTGCATGTTACGAGCCGCTGCAGTGATGAAAGCACCGTTGGCAGGCTTAGGCTGCATGTTATGAGGTTAGCAGATGCTGTATCTCAGTGTAAATCTTAGAACCTGGTTAAGAAATATGCTCTGAGGTCTGTGGTCAACAGGCCTTGGTAGTGTAATTTGAAGAAATTGGTTGAATTTGGGTCATAGCTACAAGCCACACGGCACAATGAATGAGTGTGTGTAAGGAAGAGGCTTTTATTTTGTAGAGTCCCTTTAGTCTTATTTTGAAAGTCTATCATGGATGTGTGTCAAGGGAAGGGTCATGCCCAGCAGTTATATAGAATCCATTTCTAAATATGAAATCACTGGTTTTCCATGTCATTGGGTGAATAGATGCTGTATTAGAGCGTAAATGGGAGACTTTTATTGTGAACTTCACTCCGGGGTATGTTTTGAAAAGGTCCCTAGAGTCTAATAGAAACAAACTGGTAGAGTTTGGGTCATAATGCTGATCCATTTGCATCAATTAATACGCGTGTATAATATAGAGGCTTTTATTTTGTAGGGTCACTGGAGTCTTATTTTGAAAGTCTAGCAGTAGTGTGTTGAGAAAAGGGTCAGACCCAGCAGTGATACTTGATGACTTTCCAATCATTAAATCATTCTTTGCCCTGTTATTAGGGCAGTAGATAAAGTGGCAATGGGAGGCTTTTATTTTGAAAGGAAAGAGAAACAGAAAAACAATAAGTGGGAATGCATAAGCATTCCCACTTGATAATAATAATAATAATAATAATAATAATAATAATAATAAAGAGAAACAGAAAAACAATAAGTGGGAATGCATAAGCAACAACAACACTCAGATTATTGTTATTAGCCAACTAATAACTACAACCACATCCACAAATATTGTAATTTACACCAAAGATTAATTGTCATACAATCGTTATTGGTGTCAGTAAAACCTATATAATTGACTAATAATAGTTGATAACTTGATAACTTGCGCAAGTAGCCGTGATGCACAACTATGCTGCGCGAATAAGTCATTTTTCAACAAGAAAATCTGCAATTTCGACATGTTCAAGCATCAAGAATAATAGCCACGTTCATAATGTTTGTAAGAAACCAAACTGTTTGTAAATCCGTCAAGAATTCAGTGAGGTAAGAGTATTTGTGTTCGTGCTGATCACTCACCTTACATTAGGTACCACAGAGCACAACAGAAAGCCTGCCTGAGGCAAGATGGCCGCCGGTGATGCCGTTTGAGACTCCGCCGTAAGACATCTAGCCTTTATTGTGGATATCTATGTCTGCAAACCACCTGGCAGATAAAGATCAGTCCTGATAAATCACCGACCAGCGATAGTCTGATAATCTCTGATTTATTTCAGGTTCTCAGGTGAGAACAGCCTTATAAGGTTTGTAAACATAAAAAGGAAAAACTGAAGATCCACTCTATTATATTTCACTAGAAATTATTTGTTTTTGGCTTCTGCTCTGTTTACATTTGATCACTGCTGCACTTTATGGAATGGAAATGTTAATTTACTGTCTGAAAAGCTGTACACTCTGTGTGTACAAAATGACATTAAAAGTTGTCTAAGTTCTAAGGACCAGGGTTGAGACCTCTGTAGTATATATTTAAATATTAACAATAAAAAGCATGAAATAAGTATTATTAAAAATAATTAAATGCTTGAGATTACCACTAAACTTTTTTTTTTTTTTAGTTCTTCTTCTGTCAGAATCTGTGGTTTGCTGCATAATCTTCATGGTTGGGGGTGGAGGACCTGCTCCAGTCTGGATCTCCATCTCCGTCATCTCTGCTTCACAAAATAGCTTTTAAAGTTGAATTAGCTCAAAGGAGGCAGATTGAATCCTCCATGATCTTCAGTGTTGGGCTGCTGCTTTGCAGGCATGATTAATGATGTTTGCATTGAGCACGATCGCTGCGCATCAATGCATCAATATTATTAATTTGCAGCTGTTCAATTCACATTAGTGCTGCAACTAATGATTATTTTCCAAATGGATTGATCCGTCAATTATTTTTTTGATTAATCGATTAATAATCCTTTTGCCAAAGGTTCTCTTGAGAAGTTTTCTTAAGAGAAACAAAAACTTTTCCCCTCGATGAGTTCTGGATAGAGCATATTGACAGACAAAAACATTTTTTATCTTAAATGCAAAATGTTTACATAATTTTTTTTACAATTTAGGTATGATTACTACTCTTAGTGTGTCGCTCTATCAGCTAAAGACATGTTACAGTCTCTATGCTCGAGTTAACGATTAATCGATTACTGAATTAGTTGACGATTATTTAAATAATTGATTAATCTAATTAATTGTTTCTGCCCTACTCGACATATTACATATTAGTCACCGGGTCACCGGTGACTAATATCCACCTGCCTGTTGTCTGTTTAACTCAACATGGCAGACCTGGATTTTCGGAGCGAGTCACAGTGCTGTGTTTAATGTGGAAAGCTAAAACAATAACTCAGGAGAGAAGTTAAAGCTTTAACTGGTTTTCTGTTTAGGTCGGAGCTGCTGGGCTGAAAACTGATGATGGGAGGAGATCAGAGTCATCAGAAGGAGGCTGAGGAGAGAAGAGGAGGAGCTGAAGAACATCAGAAACCAGACCAAACAAAGGCTCCAGCTGCTGAAGGTACCAGCAAATACATTTATCGAGATTATTTCTGATTATAAATGACTTCTGTGAACTTTATTCAGCAGAGATATTTCAGTTCATCAGAAATAATCTCAACATGTTTCTGCATGTTGCTACTGCAGATTAATAAACAAGCTTCTCTTCCTCAGAGACTCCGGTTGAGTTGCCCCAGTGCAGGATGGGAAGCAGAAAGGTGGACGACATGTGTTTCATGATCTCATGCACCAACTGGTATTGATCCGCTGGACACTGGGACTGCTGGGAGCTGGTGGATGATGTGTTCATGCTTTTCATGCATCAAATTGGCTGCATTGCTCATCCTCTGTTGTAGTTTTAACAGATTATTTCTCATCAAAATCAGATAAATGTTTCAGAAATCTAACAACAGGAAGTAAATCTGTCATTTCTCAGTATCATTCTGTATCAAAAAGCCAAGAAGCTGCTGTAGGGAGGCTGAAGGATGAAGACAGGGACTGAACATGAGTCCAACCTGTCAGAAAAATGTTTGCTGTTGCTTTGCAGTGGAGAGCGGCTGCTTGGAAGTAGATTTATGGACTTTTCTCCTCCTAAAAACCCTCATTATCAAAGTGGAACTAAAATCTATCATAGATTGATTTCTCCACCTTCGCACTTCACTACACACCTCTTCTCCTGCAAACTCAGGCGGAAAGAAGAATGATACATTTGCAACAAAGCTCTGATGACTGAAGGTTTTCAGACTTTTGACATGAAACATTCCTGGTTTGGCAATATCATTTTTTTTCCTCTGAAGGCTTCAGTTTCTCTACAGCTTCAACAGAAATGATGAACTGATCAATGGAAGGTGATTGAACTGTATGAGCAGATTTATGAGAGTAATTGTTGCAGAATAAGATGAAAACTAAAAGATAATAAATCATTTCTGAGTTTTTGTTGATCAGCTCAGATTTTTGTCTGTCATCTATTGTTGGAGAATGTTTGAAAATAAGCAGCAGCATGGAGACCAAGGAGCCCAGCAGACAGATGAAGTTCTGGTTCAGTATAAAGCAGAGTTTGATTCTAGAACAATATTGTAATATTTTTCAGACTCTCTTTAATGCATCCTTCTAACATAGAGAAAGGATGGACATCCACCTTATCTGACAGGAGAACGTTAAACAGGGAAATAATTGGAAAAGCTTCAGAGAATATGTAGACAGGAAAAATATGAGTCAGTATTTTCTCTAGTCCTGTAGGTGACACAGCAAATGAGGAGGAAGGTGTCTGATCATAGGAGACCAGTACAGAACCTTTGGGTCTCATACAAAGTTAACTCTGCAGATCGCTCGGAACACGTCATCCCTATGGTGAAGCACGGTAGTGGCAGCATCATGCCAAGGGATGCTTTTCAGTTTTAACAGTTTTAACAGTTTTAAAAGCTTCATTTTTTTTAGAATATTTGAACTGAAATTTCACAATAGAATAACATAAAAAAACAGAAATTGTTTTTTTTTAAATAAATTTCTTCTTGTCAACAGCTTGAAAAATATGTTTTTTTTTTTAACAGAATCTTCCACAAATAATATTCAATAGAAGAAAATCCACACTTCGATTTTAACACTTTTATAATTTTTTTTCTTATTTTAATTTGAAAAATATAAATAACCTGTAGATCGTTTAAAATGGCAACAGATTTGTGTTTCATTAAAAGGCCATCATAATAATCATGCTCTTAATGATGTTTATTTAGATGGACTCGCAGTAAAAGAGATCTTTGGATTTTAAAGGTTGCAGACCCCAGCAACAGGACAACCACCATGGATGTTTTAGATCAGAGCAGTATAATAAACTACAATGGCCTAGTCAAAGTCTAGATTTAAATCCAATTCAATCTGAGGTACACTGCAAAAAATCTAAATCTAGATAAGTCATTTTTTTCTTAAAATAATTGCATTTATTCTTAAATTGAGGAGGTAAAAAAGACATTCTGCCAATGGAAGAAGACAATTTACACTTAAAATAAGAAAACACTATTGCATTGTCTTATTTCAAGTACATATTATCTAATTATCTTATTATATGAGTAAAATTACTCATTCCATTGGCAATCTTTCTAATTTACCTACTCAAATTAAGGGGGAATACACTTAATTAAGGGAATTTTTACTTATTTCTAGATCGGTTTTGCAGTGTAAGACTTAAAAACTGCTGAAGTTGAATATTCCTGTCTGTAGATCAAACCTGGTGGAAACAAACCCAAGAAGACTGAGGGGCTAAAATCAGATGTACACCATACTTTTCAGATTTAAGTCTGTAAAATATGTTAAAACTATTAAACATTTGTAACTTTTGTCTGTGTTTGTCTAACTCATCAAAATGAGGTTAAATTCACTAAATGTTTAAAACGTCAGCCACAGGATCATACCTGCTTTTATGCACATCTATGTTAGAATCTGGGTTTAGGATTGGAAAAAGTTCAGTCTCAAATTGGATCTTAATGATTAAAATTACAGTTTGGACTTTTCTACCTGCTGCACTCTGAGAAGAGACTTTGCAGCATTCAATGCAGGTCCAGCAGATTCTGCGGGGGAGAAGAGTGATGAAGAGCTGAACTATTGAGAAAACTCTAAATAATATCACAGGCTCTGCATCAAACTGAGAACACCAAACCAAAATACTGCATAATTGCACCACATATACAGTATTAAAGCTCTGCTCTTCCATATCAGTTCTATTTTTGCACCATTTTTTCTCCCACACTGTTTACATTTGATCACTGCTGCACTTTAATAAATGGAAATGTCATGAGAGCTGTACAAAGCGCAATTTCGTTTTGTATACATTCTGTGTATGCAAAATGACAATAAAAGTTGTCTAAGTCTAAATATGATACATCAACCAATAGGAAGCAGCATGGATGGTGAACAACTGGAGAGGAAATAACAATTATCTGAAGTAGCACCAATGGGACGATTAACAAACCAGCAGCAGAAGGTGAAACTATTTAAAAAGAGTGATTTAGACAAATCTGAAAGTTCCTCTTCTTTTGATCAGCAGGTAAGAGACCTGAGAAAAGGTCCTTGGTCTTCATCTGGACTAAAAGTAATGACTGAAACGCTTTATCTTCCTCTCATTACAATCAAGGTGTAGCTGTGTAATTATCCCTCAGCGGAGGCTGATCGTTTCCCCTAATTAGCAAAACCTCATCCAGTCTGGATCAGGATGTCCTCTATGTTCCACTCACACCTCGCTGCAGATTGATCTGCCGATACAGAAAAGATGATCCTGCTTGAAGGCGTAACGCCTCTGAATCCTCAGGTCATTGGATGCAAACCTGAACATCCGTCCAGAACCAGAGAACCAGCACTGGGCCGGCTGCCGCTGCCGGGACATGTCGGGAAATCCCTACTGATGCCGTTTAAGATCGTCTGCGGATGAGTCGCCATGGAGACCATATGAAATATTCATGATGCCATCACTGCTGACCTTTAAAGGCTCAGTTATGTTTTACTTTTCCTCTTTATCTACAGCTGAGTGGCTCTGACCTGTAAGGCTCGTAGAAAATGTATGTTCTTCAGGATTTTAAATCTGTGCCATTATAAAGCAAACCAATAAGCAGACAGAGTTCTGGTTCTGAGTTTATAATACAGGCATTTGGGTTTAAAATGAAACAAAATTAGAGGAAAGAAACAACATTAGAGGAAACACTCATTAAGTCAGAATGATGTTGGACCTCTGATTAACTATAAACACGGAGGAGGTCCTATCATGCTGTGGGAGCTATTGGATTCCTGAATGTGTGAAAGGTTGGAATTAGAGTTAAATACAGCCACCCAGTGTCACAGGAAACAAGAAAAAACTCATTCTTGGAGATAAAGTCTTCACTTTTATTGACATTTCTTAGAACATGGTGGTTTAGGATAGAACCGGTGCCGGACAATCAAACAAACCCAAAGAGAGAAAAACAGTTTTCATTACAAAGCATAAAATGCTTTAAAATAAACCTGGAATATAAACCGGAGCTGAGCCCGTTCTTAACGAGAGCCAATCAAAAAATCAGCTGGCATCTCTCATTAAAGCAACAATGTGGTACTTTGTCTTTCAAAATAAACATCAGATTTATTTTTTGGTTCATTTTTATTTTATAATCAACCCATTTATTCAAAACAAAAATCTGACATTATTTACAGAAAAATCTGTTAGATAAGAAAATCCAACACAATCTGTTAAAGCGTTCTGATGAGTCAGCAGTTTTTTAATTAAACAAAATCTGCCCAGAGCATTTGTTCTTCTTCTATATCTCCATAAGAAAACTAGAGGCAACAACAGGCAGTTAAAGAAAAACTCAAGCAAGAATACACTCTCTGGGTTCTCAGGTTTTGCTCAGCAGATTAACGATGATCCTGCAGGAACACACACTTTGGAGACCGTCCATCTACTTATTCACCGATAGAGGAACCTGTTCTTTTTTTTTTTTAACTTCTTTTACATTAAAAGGATTTTGTTTAAATCTTGCATAACTGTTTTATCTTTAGATCTGTTTTTGCTTGTTTAAAAAAAGTCTTATCATTTGTGAAAATCCTTATGTTTTTATTAATTTCCTAGGATTAAAAAACAGTGCTTAATTTTTCATTAAGTCACCTTAAATAGAAATAATCTTATTGTTTTAGAGATAAAATAGGAATTTAATCCACATTTAATAAAGAAAACTATGATGCTTTACTTTAGAGTTACAGATTTTAAATGATCTGATATATATTCTGGTTTATGATAAAATTTGCTAAATTATATAATTGCAATTAGAATCTCTTTTTTTAATAGATTTTTTAAATAGATTTTTATTAGTATATTAACATGTTTAAAATCTTAAAATTCTCGCATCTATCAGTAGTTTTGTTTCTGCTTTTAATTGGCTGAATGTTTAATTTACAACTTCAAGTTTCTAATTCTTATTCAGTCGGCCCTTAAATTGGATGTATAAAAAACGCTTGACTTGCTGAGAGTTTAATTTAAAATATACTCAGTGGGCCATGAGAACGAGTCAATAAGCTGTAAACAATTGAATTAAATCACACAAACATCTTTGCTGCCTTTGTGTTTAAAACTATGGATCCTCTGCTTCGTCGTAGTTAATATTTTATCTTTTTTGCAAGTTTTTGTTTTCATAATTTTGTTTTCTGTCAGAGACTCATCGAACAACCAAACAGCATTAAGCTTTGCCACATCGAAACTTCTTCTCTGTCTCTTTGCTTTATGGATTCATCCCTAATAAAGATTTGTGATGCTGACAGCAGGCTGGACCACATGAACCGTCAAACTTCTAGAAAAATGATGAGCTTTCAGTTGATTGTTGGTTCCAGCTCTGTGAGCTGAACTTCCTGCACAGCATCACTTAGTGACTGAGGGATGATCATCAGCTCTAACTCATGTGCTCCGAGCTCTCCAGAAAATAGCCCAGAACAGAAAAAACCCAAACTCTGCTGACCTGAAGTGATGTGTTAAACTGTCCGGCACCGTTTTGTTCAAAGTAAAAGAAGTTTGAGGACAAACAACAAACAGCAGATATATGAATCCAACCCATGAAGGAGACAGAACTCCACAGGACCTTCTGCCCTCTGGGGTAAAAAATGGAATAAGTCGTCTATGTCTAAATAAAAACATCACATTTACATATATTCTCTCTAGTCTAGAAGCAGGAATATGAACAATGCCATCACTACAGCATGTTTTCTTCAAGTATTTTTCTTTCTTTTCCACAAACAGACATTTGCTGAAATACAGTAAACTGCAGTTCTGTGAATCTCAGTAAATATGTACAAACTCCAGACTTTTCTACCATAAGGTACAAAACATGGATCCTGTTTCGTTTCTACAGACGGATATTGTTTTTCAGCTCAGCTTGACGCTTGCGGCTCTAAAGGTCACTAAGTGGGCTTAAAAAGTGTATATCAGAGATAACAGAGGATTCATGATGAAGATCCCTTCCAACAGCACAGAAATAAGTCCGCACTGAGAGAATAACAGATTAAGACTTAG